TCTATGCCCCTTTTTGGTGGATTTGAGTCGTAGGAAAGCCGTACTATTAAGAGGGGGTCCGCTTTGGAAAGGTTTAGGTGGAATCGTCATGTACACGTTTACTCCTCTTTGCACCGCCTTTCTCTTAGCACTATGGAGCATCCTCCGTTTCTTTGTGTTTGTGCAAAAAGAAGAATTCCTAGTGTTGTTGTTCTCGGGCATGCGGTAGTACTGCTCTTCGGAGCGGTAGTACCGCAGGCCCTTGCGGTAGTACCGCAAGTGGTCACGGTAGTACCGCTCCTTGGGAGTCGTAGTACTGTGAGTCCTCGTCCAGCACAGCACCATAAGCGGAAGTAGGGGCGGATGTAATTTTTTACATCCGCTCCCCACGCGGTAGTACCGCGTGCCTTGAGAAGTAGTACCGTGTCGAATTTTTGCACTATTTGATAATCAGCAGAAGTTGCCACAGACGTTTTTTTTGTTTGTCCGCGCCCTTCCCGGGCTAGTCCAATCCTGCCTTGCGGTAGTACCGTAAGGGGGTGCGGTAGTACCGCGCGAGCGGCAGTACCGCCCCAGCTTCGTTGCTACAGGCCTGGACTAGCTCCTGCCATGGCCACGGTAGTACCGCGGCTCGCTACGGTAGTACCGTGAGCCCTTGCGGCAGTACCGCTCGGTTGGTGCGGTAGTACCGCAGGGCGCGGGCTGGTTAAGTGGATAACGGTTGGATTTGTCTCTCCACTATATAAGGGGTGTCTTCTTCTCCGAGTTGACCACCTCTTCCAACCCTAAGCTCCATTGTTGCTCCAAGCTCCATTTTCGCCCGATCTCTCTCCCTGGCCAATCAAACTTGTTGATTTTCTAGGGATTGGTTGAGAAGGCCTCTATCTACACTTCCACCAAGAGAAATTCGATTCCCCCCACTAATCCCTTGCGGATCTTATTACTCTTGAGTGTTTGAGCACCCTAGATGGTTGAGGTCAGCGCGGAGCCATATTCCATTGTGGTGAAGCTTCGTGGTGTTGTTGGGAGCCTCCGATTAAGTCGTGGAGATTGCCCCAACCGTGTTTGTAAAGGTTTGGTCGCCACCTCCAAGGGCACCATAGCAGAATCACGGCATCTCGCATTGTGTGAGGGCGTGAGGAGAATACGGTGGCCCTAGTGGCTTCTTGGGGAGCATTGTGCCTCCACACCGCTCCAACGGAGACGTACTTCCCCTCAAAAGGAAGGAACTTTGGTAACACATCCTCGTCATCACCGGCTCCACTCTTGGTTATCTCGTACCTTTACTTGTGCAAGCTTATTTGTGTTATTTCCCTTGCTTGCTTGTGTGCTTGTTGTTGTTGCATCATATAGGATGCTCACCTAGTTGCACATCTAGACAACCTACTTTGATGCAAAGTTTAATCTGGTAAAGAAAAGCTAAAAATTGTTAGTTGCCTATTCACCCCCCCCTCTAGTCAACTATATCGATCCTTTCAGCGGCCTCTGGGCCGGCGACAAGTGGCGGTGGCGGGGTGGCTTGGCGCTGAAATCGAGGAGGGAGGAGGCTGGCAGTTGCGGGGATCCCGAGGGGAAGGCTAGAAGTCGTGGAGGGGGTTAGGGTTCCAAAAATGAAAAGGGGAAGTCTATATATAGACAAAGGGGCTAGGTTAGGGGGATTTGGAGGCTTCCGGAGCCCTCCGATCGTGATCCGACGGCTCCGATCAGAGGGGGGTTAGATGGGCTAGGTGGGCTGTGGAGAGTGCGATGGGCTGAGAGGAGGAAGAGAAGGCAGCCCGGCAACGGTTTCCGGAGACCGAAAACGTCCGACGTGTGACCGGCTATAGTGCCGCTATAGTTAACCGTTGGGGCGTCAAACGGACTCCGAATGCGATGAAACTTGGCAGGCGGCCTACTAACAACATAACAACACCGCACGCCAACTTTCATCCCATTCCGAGAACATTTTCCGGCCACTTATAAAATAATATTTCAGACATGCCGCGGGTGTGTGCGAGTGTGTCTGGGCTCAGAACGGACAACGAAAGGAACTGGGGAAAACAGGACGGATGCAGGTTTTGAAAACATGCAGATGCAATGCGGATGATGACGTGGCAAGATGCAACACGCAAGAAAAGACAAGACAACAACAACAAATAACTGGAAGACACCTGGCGCATCGGTCTCGGGGCGTTACACCGCTGCCCCTGCGTTCTTTCTCTCACGCGCGCACGCAACGACGACGCCCCAGCGCCGGTGACCACGCCTTCCTCCACGCCATCCCTCCTTCCATCCCTACAACCTGAGACCACGCCCTGGTAGGTATCCAATTCCTACCAAGACATGTCTTGGGTATTTTGTCCATTGATCATTTTGGGAACCAAGTTTCAGTACATGACTTAGGATCCTATCTGCCGGCAGTTCTTGCATTATCGATAGAGGTTATAACAACTGACGCAAGGGATGATGTGATGGATCGTACTGCTTGCTGAGATTACAATGCAGAAATTATCATGTTGAGACTGCGACATGAGCATGTCATTGCTTGGGGACAATCAATGTTTTGCCGGAGCGGGTAGGTCCTATTTGGCGCGCTGCACGCTGGGAGGGGGCGCAACGCGCACCCCCACTCGCCTAGTGTGCCATTTTGGGCCGGCCCTATGCGAGGCGCCCTGTTTTATCATTTCATTTTTTCTAATATAAGAGAACTTTTGACACTAATCTTATATTATGAAACGGAGGGAGTAGCTGATTCAAAAAATGTGCATCTATTACAAAAAAAAAATCTTCAAAACAAAAAAATGTTTGTGAATTTTTGAAATTGTCCCCCTATTTTTTAAAAAATATTCAGTTCAAACACAATATTCATGGGTTGCAGAAAAAATGTTCACGAATTTAAAAAAATTCACTTTCAAAAATGTTTGTGATTTTTTTTAAAAATCATGAATTTGAAAATTATTCAGGATTTCAAAAAGTATTGAAAATTATAAAATGTTCGTGATTTTTTAAATGAAAATTAATGCAATGAAAAAACATGAAAATAATAAAAGAAAATGAAAAAATAAAGGAAAGAACGAATTGAAAAAAGGTAGGAAAAAAACAGTTAAACTGGAAATAGCTAATGGGCCGGCCCAAATACACGTAGTCAAGAAGGGGGGCGGGGTACGCGATTGGTAGGCAAGTAACGACCTACGCGCAAAATAGGGTCTCTCTCTCTCTCTCTCTCATATCCATGTACTCAGTTCCCCCATTTTGCTTGCTTCTGATTCCCCATCTCCATGATTGCTGACTTCTCATCCTTGACCCCTCTTGTATCCAGACAACTCATTAACTTTAACTACAAACAACCGTTGTCAAGTCGAATTCCTTCCTGATTTGTGTGATTTGGCGCTGGTATGTATCGATTTGTTGTGTGCCCATCTACAGATATGACATGGGAGGATCCGCGTGTCATTCCCAGTCGCCTTCCCCCGGAGCACCAAGACCACACTGGTACGTGGCTTTCTCCGCCATGTTCACTGGATCCCTCTATCTTTTGTTTCTGTCTTTGCGACCATCTTAAGGAAACCTTGGAACTGAGAATACAATTAGGTATTTTTTTTTTTACATTACATTGAGAAAGCAATTATGTATGTCTCCGTCGATTACGGAGGTGTCTGTGGTGACTTCGTCAAATATTAAAATGATGTGTCGGCTCAGTCTCTCGAAGGGGCTCGTATGATTAGGTAGGGCACTGTGTGCAATTATGTATGCGAGACATTCTAGCAGGGTCCTACTAGTAGTCCATATTGAGAATGGAATAAGAGGGTTTATGAAACTCTTGTACACGAAGTAACGACAATGTCGACTGGTCACCTTACCATCAATAGCCATAAAACATGGTTATTAAAACCTTGATGGCTGTAGCTATCTTGCAGTGTCAATCAATTTCGCTGTTGCGTTGCATCTTCTGCGAGAAGGGACGTCACTTTTCTCCCTATAAACAGCATGATGGAGAGGTTCCGTTTGCTCCCACCATGTATTGCAACTAGCAGCCTCGGTTTTTTTCCTCAGAGACGACACGAAGAAGCTCTTCCCATTTCAATCAGGATGGCAATAGGCCAGACCGCTCCGGCCCGGACCTGGCCCCTCTCTCTCTTCTGCTCAGGGATGTGGGGCCGGGTCAATGGTCCAATACTAACGCCCTGTTCGGTACCCCTCCGCTCCACAACTCCGGGAGCGGAGTTGACGGAGCTGCTGTTCAAATCGAAGGAGTTGCAGTTTCCCCGCTCCACAGATTCTGAAAACGGGTGATTACCGAACAGGCGTTAAGGGGCTTCATGTGCATTGGGCAACATGGTCCGACCCATTTTAATACCCGATAGCACAACAAAATGTTAACGCAAACACATTATTTCAACTAGCAACATTTTAACCACGTGACATAAGTGATAAGCAGTCCAAACAATTCAAAAAAAAGGCAACATTTTAGCTGTAGAGAATTTTTTTGTTCAAACAAAAAAAAGGAACATAGGCAGCTCCGTTTCTATTTCTACCATGAATCATTTGTATTAGAACTTACTTATAAGGTTGTTCAATAGTTTGCAATTTTCATATAAACACAAGGGTAATTTGCAAAGGCACAAACTACACAACCTTGGGCAAGAAGTCTGCGTTAAAAATTAACGACGCAAGCAGGCAGCTGTTGATTTGAAAGCGTTGCTGTCTGACCAAACAATGGCGGCACAGTACAATTAACACCAACCTTCAGTTGCGCTGTATAAAGACTCATTACTTGCAGCACTTGACAAGATTGCAAGCGAATTCACCTTTACAAAGTCAGTACCAGTAGCTATCAGCAGAGAAAAAACATGGCCCATAATTCTGTAGCTTGTTAGTCATTTCCATTTAGATAATGCACATATCACGTTATTGCTATGACAAGAAAACGTGCAGCCGGAAACGTTGCCCCACTCCACAGACTGGCAAAAGAAAGAAAGAAAGAAAACCTCTATGTATACAAGACTATTTCACGATCATAGAACGCGAGCACGGGTATTCAATTATAAGCACAGGTGGTCTATGTGAACACCAGCCCTGCACAGTGGGCAGGAGGCGTTCCTCTGAAGCCAGTCATCGATGCATCGCACGTGGAAAATGTGCTGGCACTGAGGCAAGGCTCTCACAAATTGCTGCGGTCTCAAGTCCTGGTCAGTAGTTTAGCATGTCGTCAGCACGAGGAACTATTTTTCTTGGCTTCTATTTAGTGGGAGTCTGAGAATAATGCATGTCAAGAACAGTAACTAACCTGAAGGCATACAGAACAGCAGCTCTTATTGGTTTCCTGATCAGAATCGGTTGCAGCGCTGAACCTGATTGCTGGGATCTTATTGATCAGGGCTCTTGACATACCACCCGTGCAGCCGGTTTCGAAAAGGTCATTGTTGTCAATGAAAGGTGTACTCATTAAACTCATCTGCGGTAGAAAAAACATTGAATCAGATAGAGTATGTACACTGAAGGAAACATTCTATGGTCCTAAATAGCAGATGGTGTGAAATGGTCACTCACAAGTTTAATCTTGGATAACGGTTTTTTTCTCTCAATTTAATACCATAGATTATTTATCTTGAGTATTTACCATCTATGCTGCTATATAGTATAGTTTGCAAAATAGCATGATTGTTTATTTGTTTTATTAAGATAATACCACGCATACATATCTGAAGAATTTCACACTTTAGACGCCAAAACAAGACATTTAATGCTTTGGTCTCTCTAGCCCCACAATCTAGTTCTAGATATTCCTATGACTAGAAACTTCCATTGCAGGAGAGCGGGAGAATGTTATTTTCCATGTACCTAACCATTTTAATGCTAAGAATCTGCTACATCATAAATTGTAGGTTTGAAAGTGTTTCACTGTTTTACTTATATTAGATGAATATAAGATTTGTTTCTCCTAGAATCTGCCACGGTTACTAGGTATCCTACCATTTTAGGCATTAGAGAGCACAGATATCACACAATCAATCATTATGGATTTACAACCAGCTTATATGGAGAGCTATATACCTGACTTTGCACTGCACGCTGGAGTGCTGGACTGACCTTCTCCCAAACAATTCGTCCACTGAAGAGGCTAGAGATGATGTCTAGCTGAAAGACCGAAACAGAATATCAGAACAAGTAAAACCTAATTCTGCTTATGAATTGTTGCTTCACCTATTCACACAAAAATGTCCATAACATAGTGCAACAACTAATGAAACGCAATATTATCTCCTTGAGAAGCAAATGTTTCCATGGTTTCCTAAGTTAGCAAATTTCATAATTCCTGCCAGTCAACATCGTAGTGAGGTATGTGCTTGGGTAGGTACATGAAAATGATCCTCCACCTTCCTTGATGATAGTACATAAAGAAAAGAGGTCACCGGATGATTCTTCCATACTCACCACAAAGAGAAAGCTATACTTTCCGGATTCGCTAGATCTCCAAATCTCGATGCAGGATTCAACAGCCTCAATAGAAAAGACTGCGCCGGAGACCGCCCCCACGCCGGCGCCCCGGAGCATGCCGCTTTCCGTGGACATCCCCATGAAGGCACCGATGAAGATCCCGACCAGTGAACCCACTGCAAGATAAAATTACAACGAGGCGAACTTTCAGATAAAATTGTTAATTGTACCAACCATTTACACACCACATGAGCTACTCATGGAACAATTCCAATGCAGATACGCCATACAGCAGCGAATTAAACAGAGGACGAAAACAGAGGACGCCCCGGTGATGGACCTAAACCTGTATAAAACTGAGAAGTGGGGGGTTTTAAAGATAAGCCTAGCATGTCTCGTGATCAAAGTGGCAAAGAATGATCCGAAATTCCTGCCTGCTGCCAAATCCAGCAGACTACCGGGAAGCAAGAATGGCAGAGGAACCCAAAATTGCACCGGCAAGGGTGCCGTTCCACTCCACCTAATACTCGATTCGTAATCAGACACCAATGCTACGGGTAGCAAAACATTGAGCGAGAAGGAAGAGCAAGGAAGCAGAACCGGGCACGCACCGACGGCGAAGACGAAGGTGAGCAGCGCGCCGAGCGCCCGCCCGAGGGCCGCCGCGGCCGCGGCGCCGCGCCTCCGGAGCGCCCTCCACGCCGCGTCGAAGCGGCAGCGGGGACTCGAGGCGCCGGAGAGCGAGGAAGGAGGGGGAGGCGCCCGACGATCCATCAATTCAGGGCCGGCCGGCGAGTCCAAGGAACGTGGCGCGTGTGC